GATCCTACCTCTGATGTTTTAGATCCCTGTTTGCTTTGCTTCGTATTGTTTGCATGAGCTTTTGGACTTAAAATACTATTCATTTTTTCCATATATAAATTTCATTCAGAACTTTGAAACTATAAAACAAGTGCGTCATCGCAAACATGACGCAGTGATTAGAGCGTTTACTAGTACTCTTGCGTGGCGTAGAAAGGAGATGATAATTATGTGGTGGGATCGAATCCCACTGAATGGCATGGGGATCGGTCCTTCGGATGAAACCGTATAAACCAAGCTCTCTTGTTCCTTTAGGTACTGGTACAAAAGATATATCCCTTACGGCTCAATGGCCGTTAATCCATATATAGGTCTAAATTTGCAGCCAATAATGCAAATTGTCCCACTTTTCCAACTTTAATTGGTGCTTCTGGCATTCTGTACTCTAACTAGATCCTTAAATGATAACGTTCAGAGCTAATGTTTTGTTTTTTCTCGTTTTATGCACGCTTAAATAATTAAAATTCATATTAATTTCGGTGTTAAAAACGAGGATTTTGAAATTATTTTTGTATCTCTAATTTGAAATATTGGAGTGTGATTCATAAACAAGTTCACTGGATACAATATCAACATTTAAATCGGGATTTATTTAAAGTTTACATCTTTGAATTCTATTAAAAATTTTATTCTTATAGAAAGAAGCAAGATCAAAACAATTTACGAGTACGTTAAAATTAAGTCAGGGCTGAAACCAAAGCTGCAAATTAAAGTCTGTTAAATTGTACCTTTTTAAACGTTTGTTACACAAACAAGTTCACTTTTAATAAAAAAAATATACCCATACCTAATAATTAGGTATGGATATATTTTTTATTAAAAGAAAAATAAGTAACGTCAGGTGCCTGTGGTTTGTTAACATTTTTTGTTAGTCGAGAGTTTTGTCATACAAAAAAATTAAAGGGCAAAGCCGTTTTTGATATTTTTTTTAACACGCAGTCAAATGATTAACTTTAAAGTCAAAAGATTTCTTACCGGCCCAAAACCTTATAATTTCAAAAAGCCGTTGAATACCAAAGCTTATGTTTTATGATTTCTTATAATGAGGTGCCGTTTCGATATTTCATTAAGTGAATTTTTTTGAGTGACCAGATGTTACTAGTATACTCACTTGAATGATAAATCATATTTATCGGGTAACTCCCTCATTTACTGCAGGTTCGATAGAAAACTACTAGTATTTAAAATCTCAAAAACAGCGACGCCATTATTAAGTAAGTTATATTTATTTTGAGACATATATCCTCGGGTGAGGTAGATTTATTTGTTCTAATCATGACACCCTGGATGTAGGATACTGGGGCACGTTGGAGGATCAATGTTTTACATAAGAATACATAGGAAAACTATTTTTAAATCTCTAAAACAGCAAAGCTATGATAAGTTTATATTTTTCTGAAACCGTTCTCATGTAGAATATATTTAATTAAATTTGTTGAAATCATGTCCCAGAGAGATAGGTAGGGAGCAGGGAGAGGCGATAATGGAAGATCAAACATGTAGGAGAATCTTGAAAAATCTTCTGAAGCCCTGATTAGTCCAGGAAACACGGAAACTTCTTAAGTTAGTGTACATTAAATTTTTGTTTATATCAGTTTTGATGTATAATAGGACAGGTGGAATAATTCAATAAGAAATACTCAGGAAAAAACATTGAAATGAAATACCAATTTAATGTTCTTTGATTTAAAAATGATAAATATATTTTTCAAGAACGAAGTTTAAAATTAGGAACTGGCAAGTAAACAAACTAATTATCACACTTAAGGTAGACATTGTAAATGTAGAATGGAAATTTTAAAGGTAAAAAGGGATTCGTACAAAGATAACAAAGCGTAATTAAGTTCAAAAGTCCATGAAAACTAATCACAAATACCTCTAAAAGAGCGAATGTCGGATCCGGTGCCTCGGAGGACTAAACATCCCTGGTCAATCGTTCAATAAATCATTATATACGGAAAGAAAGAAGAAATGTACGTTTTGCTTTAATTCAATTGCTTTTTATCACGATTAAAATGGGTATTGAATTATTTCACCTTCCATGAGGTCAACATTTAGTCCCGAATTGTCTTCAGCTGAGCATTTGTTTGAGGTATGAATCAACAAATTTGACTTTCTAATTCCATTTAAAAAGCTACGAAAGAGCTTTTAATACCTTTTCGAAGAATCAACTATATTTTATGCCGACAATGATACGAGCGACTGTAAATGTTAAATTAGGACACGTAATTACTTGATACCATATACTGACTTTTTAAAAAAAAATTATGTTTTTTAGAATTCAGACCAATCCTCATATTCAAAACGAGCGTTGCTAAAAATCCGTTCATTATGCCTGGAAAATTACAACTGATGAATGAAATATTGCATAAAAGTGTATTTGACTACAAGTATTATAGAATAACATTTTAAATGCTAGGTAATTTTCATTTCAGTAGATTTTTTTTTTACATGTATTTCTTCCCAGTGTTTTCAATTTCCGAAAGTTCTTATAAAATAGAAAAAAAAACTGTGACACTAACTTTATTAAGCAAACTTAATGAACTTTTTTTTACCAAAAGTGGGGGGAATTTTGACTTTTAAAACTTCAAATTTACTTGGAACAAATAGCCAATGCAAGTTCAAGTCGTATGTGCTTGGTTTCAGGACGGTGTAGTTTGTGCACTATTTTTATATTATTTTTTCTAGGTGGATCTAAATACACTCATTTAAATAAAAATTAAAAATCGCTGAAATTAGCACTTTTTTAATTATCACCTTTTACATAAAATATTTGTACAAAGTGCTAATTTCAGAGACTTTTATTTTTATTTTAATGATTGTCTTCAGAAATACCCAGAAAAACATATAGTACATCCTGAAACCAAGCGCCAATAACATTAAATTAAAATTCTAATAAAGGTCAACTCCTAATGAATTCAACGTTTTATAATAAACAACATTATATGGAAACACATACTACATATTACAAAGAATAAATACTTGTAATTCGTTTCATTGCTTAAACTGAAACATCTTTAATTTTTATAGCGACCTTAGTTGTTAGCAAATATAATCAATCAGAGTCGTATATTTCAGCTGACATATTTTAAACTAATTGTTAGCTAGGTCTTTGTTTTGATACCGAACTTGATTACAATATTTCTTCTACTTGATTAATACCAAGGGCTCACGGCAGATGTGACCGGTCGACAGGGGATGTTTACTCCTGTTAAGGACCTGATCCCACCTCTGGAATCTCCAAGGCTCCGTATTTTATGACATTTTTACAGATTTGTATTGTTTATAGATTTATGTTTTGGAAAATGAAAAAAGAGAATTAACATCATGACATGTCGGAATAAAATGTATAAAGGTATGAACGGGTTCTCGGACAAAATGCGTTTTTCACCCCCCCCCCCCCCCAGTTTGCCTGAGGCCGTTCTACAATGCATACAAAAGGAATCCTTCAGTGGTCAATTAGGTCTTTAAAGAAAGTTTATTGGAAGACTACCTGAATCAAAATGTAGATGTGTCATCCCTGCACAGCAGTAACCCCAAGTTGATTTATAATTAACAAATAATTTAAACTCCTAATCCCACCTCTGATGTTTTGGAGGTCCTTGATTGCTCTGCTCTGGATTTGTATTGTTTTATGGACTTTGAGATTGAATACTGTTCGTTATCTCCATATTTCATGTAATACTTGAAAAAATATGGCTGACTCTATAATTGAGAGTACAAGTGCCCAAATACTTCTGCTGGTTGATATCATAAACATATAATTTTTGTCAATTTCAAAAGAAAAAAAAAGTTTCTATGATTTATTTTTACCTTCCTTCTTATTAACTATCAATAATAAATCTAAATTCATTTTGTAACTAAATTTTATTATCATCAAATATATATCTTACAAATTTCGCATCACCAACATATAACAACAATAAGTAACAACATTGGGGCAATTCTAACACCTGTCACCTAATATATCTTCTTCTTCATTTTTCCAATTCAATTGATCAATACAATATTTAAAGACATGATGAAACAATTCCACATAACATACATTATATTAGGATTTAATATACATGCGATTGCTGAAAATGCTTTAATTACTCTCCTTTTAGAAAACAGTCTTTCAATTTTAGAATAGGAGTATTTTACCCTATCTTTGGACTTTATATTGGCGAATAGTAGAGATTCTTTAATTAACAACATACTTAAAATTGTTGTTGATAACGATTTATGCCCCACCTCTGTGCCGTGAGAGAACTTTTAATTGCTTTACTACACCAGTTACTCTCCGCATTTCTATCATATGTATATTTCAACAGTGAGGGGAAGCTGTGTCAATTTTAGAATAATGAAAGTCCAAAGTGAATTCTTCTAATGAATAAAGTGACTAAAATTGTCTGATTTTTTATCATTGACAAGTTTTCAGTGGTAGTACATGTTGATCAGTGTGTAATATTTTTAAGTCTAAAACTAAGTGACTAGTCAGGAAACTGAGTAAAGTTCCTTCAGAGGGATAGAAATCTAAGGCTACAACTTTTTAAAAAATGAAAATTTGACATACAGAAGAGAAAAGGGAAATTTAAGAATATGAGAACATGCATATGAAACAACAACTTTCTTTACGAAATTAGGAGATACTTCCTATAAATAATAGCAAATAAAATTATCAAGCTACCTGTTAGAATATAAAAGTTTCCTCAACTTTAAAGAGGGCATCAAAACATCATTAAACTAATCAAAATTTGAATACATGTACATTTAAATCAAAAAGAAATGCATGTCTCATAACTTTTACTGCAGACCTTGTCTAAGCATGAAAAACATTCTATTTTTTTACCATACCTTGCAGACACAATAAATCATACTTAAAAATTTCAATTTGCAGCAGAAGGATGATGTATTTAGATCTATGATATACTTAAAATAAATGGCACTCAGGGTCAACAACTGTTTAAAGGAATTTGTTAAAAAACAATGTTGCTTTCTCTCATTTTGTCTCACAATAAACCAGTCATCTTTAAAGAATACATTTCTCATATACATGGATCCATTTTACATAAAAAAACTCTGAAATGGACAAAAAAAAAAAGAAAATGAATAGTCAACTATGGATTCATAAAACAAATACTGACACTGGGTGTACAAGGATCAGAAAAAAAATTAACCAGACCTTTGGTTCTGTGTACATGATTCATGGCTTCCAATAAGACCTTGAGCTTGCTACACTTTCTACCGTGCATGGACGGTTTCTGGTGCTCGCAGGTCGCCTCCCTTGTCTTGAAGGTGGCCTCCCATCCAGAGAAAATGGTTCATTACTATTGTTAGCATTAGCTTGAGTCATTTGCCTTGATGAAGAGAAGTCTTGAGGTGCCCAGTTTAGTGGGGCGGGCTTCCTTTTCTTTTCTGCCCATGGAGCTTCAAACGATGGCTCTTCCAGCTTATGACCAAAGAGAGTTTCATCAACAAATGTGGGTTTGTGGTTGTGAAATCTGTACCTCTGTGACTCACTTGTGTGATTGATGCGAGGTTTAAAATTATGGTAATTACTAGGTTTTTGCTCAGATGGGCTAGGAGCCCAGAGCAAGGGTGGGCCTCTCTTCTTTTCCTTTGGAGTTTTTGTTTGGAATGGGAATGTACCACTCTGACTGTCGTGTACCTGTGTAAAATTGTGAGATCTAAACAGAGTTTCGTCCACTTCCGCTGTGTTGCTCACTTTACGGTAGCCGCTGCGAGGCCGACTTCCTGAAGAAGAAGAAGGAGGTCGAGTTCCAGTGATGACAAAAGTGTCTGCCATCTTCCTTGTGTAGTATCTGGTAATCAAGATTAAACAATGACATTCATTTACAATTGTACAAGTGAAAGCAAATGCATTTATGTTTTTTATTAAAAAAAATGAATAAATCATTTTGGACCTGTTAAGAAGGTCCATCACATTCTCCATTCTAAGCTTCAAAACTAAATTATCGATGCAATAATTTGTATTAACTTCATAAATATGCTTGAATTTATGTTTTAATTGGCTATACATGTGAAACAAATAATTTATTTGCATTCATGAACTAGAGGTGATCTATACAAAACTGCTAGCCTGGTTCAGTATGCTCTTATGAAAAGGTTTACAAACGCAAAAAAGGTGTTATGATCAACTGCACAGATGTAGTATAAATAGTAAGCTAATACAATGATTTAAATTAGTTCTCTAGATTAATTTTAGCAAAATTAATTACTTGATATGGAATCTTTTATCTGAAATCTAAAGTCTTGTCATTGCTGCTTGGCTGCATGTCAACAAAAGATCATGGTTCATAAGACGCTTGCTTTGGGTAACAGTAGAACTCGGTACTATATTTAACTCATTTGACTTTTCTAAAGCGAGTCTGCAGGTTCAAAAGATTATTACAAAAAATTCACAGTTTCATTCAAATATTTTACATATGAAAAATATTATCCTCATCTACAAAATATGTCATTTTATTTTTATTATACTGTGGAAAATACATTATTACTAAAATTACACACACCATCTTCCCATGATGCATTGAGTGCAAGATAAGAAAATGGCGTCGGGCATGTGTTGAAGGAGAGTCAGTCGAAAGAGAAAGTGATGTCTTTGTTTTGTAAGTATGCTGTGGTAAAGTAATGTTAAATAACAGGTAGAGAAAAACTTGAATATACAATCCTCTTAATGATTTGAAAGAAATGTTGGCGTCGAGCCATTGTTGAAACGTACAGATAACGATTTTTCCCGGTTAGGTCACGTGTGCTCAAACGTATGCTATTCGTTATTGAAGATTATATATATGTGTTAGGAAGAAACAAGTCATGCTTTTACATTTTTGGAAATTTCTCAGGTCAACATGAATCTCTCAGAGTTCTGCCATGTATGTGCGGCAGCTGGGAAATCCAACCGACTGCGAGTGTATCAAATAAACTTTGATGAGGCTGTGCGATTTTGTGAGGATGACAAGGTATTTATTTATTATTAATTAATTTATTATTATAACTTGGACAATCTCAAGAAAAGAGAAAAATAGATTTTTTTCATCTATGACTCTCTTGGCCCATGCAAAATTTCTTTAGGATATGTATTTCCTTTTTGCTGCTTAAAAATATTTTGAACAGACAATGATGAATGAACAGTTATTTTTAATACAGAATTAACATTTTACCCCCTCCCCCTCTTTTTAAAAAGACTGTCTACCATTTATTTAATCTTAACACTTAAAATTTCTAATAATTTCAGTGTACCTACCCTATTGGCCAGTCCTCCCCAGGGAGTATTATTGTCAACAGAAAGTACACCGAAATATCACCAAGAAAAAGAACTCCTTCCCAAACACCACAGAGAGCACAACCTGTCACTGCCAGTACGAAACACAGAGATGTCATTCCCTGCTCAGCAAATGTAAGGAAAATACTTACTTCTTCAACCAAGCCTTCAACTGTAGAAAAACCTCATACACCATATATACCAGGAAAATTAGGGAAAAATGAGGAGAAGTTTACAAGTAATGGAGCAACTGTTTGCAAGGAGGCCAGGAGTATCAAAACCAAAACACTTTTATTCCCACAGTGGCAGAATAAAGAGGCATTATGCTGGCTTGACGTAGTAATGTGTTTATTTGTTCATTGTAAAAAGCTTCAAGAGCATGTGAAATCTTTTAATAACGATACAGACAAATCAGTACTCACTACCCTACTCACTGCATACAACCAGGCCTGCAACATTCTTAATGCCTCACAGGAATCAATCCCATCTGTAAGAAAGCAACCCATCTCTTTGATGGACCGTAAAGTTCAACCAATGCCTGGACAGGATTTATCTGCAGTACCAAAATCATCTGACATTGTTAACGAGTTCCAGCATCTTTCTGTGATTGATAACGGCATAAAAACAGGTGCAGGGATGAAACTCTGTTCAGAGCTTGTTTCAGAACATTATCCTGTTGAAGATCGATATCATAATGCATTTTGCATTTTACAAAATGTTCGAGAGGCTGTTTTCCAGAAGCTCCAACCAAGTTTGCAGTGTGAGAAGGGTAAAAATGACAGCCCTTTGTTTGCCATTCCTCTATTGATAAAGGGAGACTTTGATGCCCAGAAGCTGATGATGATGAAGTACAGGTTTGATTTTCACTGTAGGGCTTGTGGGTATGAACAGAGTGACTCATATCAACAGGTACTTCCTACCATTCCTAAACCTCCGGAGAACATAGAATCCGCAGAACCGAGTGTGGAACGATCCTGCTTCAAATGTAGGGCACCATGGCAACAACGCAAAATGGTATTTGAAGAGTAAGTAGTTTTCTTGCTCAAGCAACAAAGGCTTTAGCATTCAAGAGAAGTAACTCCTAAAGTACACTGAAGAGAATATGATAAAAATAAATGTAAATTGTTTCTTGATGTGTATTCACATTTAAAACCATAATTAATTCATTATGTATGTAGTCTTTAATATTTACTCTTTTTTTAATTGGATAATTATATTTAATATTATCGTATCTTTCAGGTTATCAGATGTAGTCATCCTCCATTTTGTAGAGGGTCTCAGAAGTAACAGTCTGGAGAAGTTGACTTTTTCCTTTGGAGGGAAACTTTACAAAGTGAGGGGCCTGATCCAATACCTTAATAACCCTGATCATTTTGTTACCTGGATATATGACAGTCAAGGTAAGTGTGTAATGCTCAAATAAATGATATATAAAGGTGGTTCTTTGTTGTTTAATAGACATCTTTTTTTATTTAAAAAACATGCACAGAATTGACTAGAGGCAAATCTATTAAGTATATATGTGATGTATGATGTATTACTCACTGATTCATTTAATTTCTTTAGGTAAGATATTTTTCATACATTTTTAGAGAGAGCTTAGCTGATGTTGAAAAACTTAATTTCCAAAATTGTTAAAACTTGTATCTTTCTTTTTAAGAGTCACTTTGGATGGAATGCGATGATTTAAAATCTCCAGTTTGTCAATTCCATAAACGTCCCTTCAGCGTTCCTGCAGAACAAATTCACATGGTCCTGTGGGAAAGCTCCCTCCAGATGGACACAGATAAGACTTTCAGCAATAAAACAAAACAGAGGATGAAGCTTTCAGAAAAACAGCCAGCTGAAATTGGAGAAAAACATAAGGAAGAGGATTGTCAGCATATATCTGGTAGGAAGTCTCTCACAGCCAATATAGCAGCTTCGCAGATGAAGGATAAAGAGAAGTCGGCAGATGCTGGTTCTAGGGGCACTACAGAGAAGTTTTTATCCCCAGCAGCTCTGAAGCCTTACATGATGGTCAAATTGACCAATACTGGACAAATAGTTCAGGTGCCATCTGAGGTCAAAGGTCAACAACTCCAGTCACCTGGTTTATTGTCAAACACTGGGAAATTCTCTAGAAACAATTGCAAAAGTGGCAGTGAGATATCTAATGTTTGTAACCAAGCTACCATGCAAAACCAAACTGAAATGAAAACTCAGCCACCAGCTTTATCCAGATCTACAAGTGTGTATACACCAGCCTTTCTAAAGTCACTGATTCAAAGGAAATCCAAAAACTCTCTAGTCTTACAAGCAGAAAAGAGGACAGGAAAATCCATTTCTGCTGTATGTGGTGCTAATAATATGACTAAGCCTACTGGATCCAATAGGTCAAACTTTAGAACTCCATTCATAGGGAAAAAGAAATTTGAGGGCTATTTTTCCACCAAGAATTTAAAGTCTGATATGTCCCAATCTTCTAGACTTGTGAGAAGTGCTAGCGTTTATTCAATGTCGGGAGATTCCTCTCGCCCCAACAGCCCAGCTTTAAGTTCCTACAGTGATACGTTTACAATACAGAAGCGGAAGTTGAAGGCAGTGGCAGAAAAAAACACCAAGCGAAGGAAATCCATGTGCAGCGACTCCAGTGTCAGTTCTCCGGAGTCCTTACCTCAGAAAGAAATGATGGATGTGCAAGCTTCTGAAGGATGTGATGTTCTTCAAAGTCTCTACAGTGCTTTAAATCTTACAATGCCTGAAAGTTTAGAGTTACCGAGGGGCACAAATAGTACAAAGACCTCCAGCTTAGATCTAAATGAGGATGAATTAATCCCAGACGTCCAGGATTTAGCCGATTTTATTACCAATCCTGAAAATGAGGCTTCATCTAGTTTAGATGAATTTTTGGCTCAATTGTGAAATTCAGTCTAAAAAAATTTTCCATTTAAAAAAGCCAAGAGTTTTGGTTATGATTTGGTGAATTATTGCTTTCATTGATCATTTTTGATGTGCATTTAGCATGTTTAAGAACTTATTGTTTTCCTTCACTAAAATTTTTATGATGAGATGGCAACAGTTGTGGATGAATGATAATATAATTATTTTTCTTATTTGCTCATACATTAATAATGTCATAAAGATGTGTGTGATATACAGAGTGATTGATCCGAGACCACAAATGTGTTCTTTAAAGTTCTATACATATATTTTGTACCATTGTTAATTTACACTTGTTATCTATACCTTTTGTTTAAATATTACAATTTGTTTTCCAGAAAAAACCCAACATGCAGTAGTTTTCTTTTATATTTTTGAGAAACAAAATATGATTTTGAAATGAGACGGTAGAAATTTCTACTAAAGATTTATTTGCATAGATTTTTAGCATACTCATTTTAAGTCAAATTATAGTCTGTCTTTATCAACACCATGTAATATAAAAATATAATTTGTTAAGTCAAGCATTTAAAGAGCGAAAGATTATCTTATCAGAATCAAACTCTGTAATAGGTCAAGGTATGGTCTCTCACAATCACACATTTTTATGGGTTGAATACTTGTCTGTCTGAACATGATGAATCAAACTGTTATAGATGACATTTGTTTTGTCTGTCTGTTTTATTTTTGATTGTGGTTAAGGTCATTTTTGTATTGCGTGAGAAGGTCTAATTCAATATTGTCTGTCAGTCTGTTGTTTTAAGGTCAATTATTGTTAGTAATATTTATAAATGAGGTCATTACTTTCTCTAGAATTCACTGGAGAGACACTTATGTTTTTTGATATTTTGTAAATAATTGGTTTGAAAGAAACTGGATTATTTAAACCAAACTTATCTGAATGATTGTGTGAAAGAAAAATTGGAAATGTTCGTCATTTGCAATAGTGACTCCCCAGAAAAAATACGACCAGAAACGGGAAAAAAACTTTCTGTCGTCGTGATGTCCGTAGTTAGCATAAGAGTGGTGAACAATGTCCGTTATTAAAAAAAGGGAAACATTGAAGTCTGTCATCAAAAAATGGTACTCGGTGATGTCCGTCGTCAAAAAAAGGAATAAATCGAAGTCTGTCATCCAAAAATGGTGTTATTTGATGTCCGTCGTCAAAAAAGGAATAAAAGGAAGTTTGTCATTCAAAAATGGTGTTATATGATGTCCGTCGTCAAAAAAGGAATAAATCGAAGTCTGTCATCCAAAAATGGTGTTATATGATGTCCGTCGTCAAAAAAGGAATAAATCGAAGTCTGTCATCCAAAAATGGTGTTGTATGATGTCTGTCGTCAAGAAAAGAGGTTTAATTTTGTCTGTCGTCAAGAAAAGGTTGGGTAGAGAACGGTGGAAGGCCCAATCAATGAGACAAATAAGATTTGTAGAGGAGGCTGCCACTGTTGAAAAGATTGGCTTGTAAACAGCTGAGAGCTTGGAAGAGCTTTTCATCAATCTACACATTCCTGATGCTTGCAATTACAGAAAAGAAAATCTGCCTTGTGTAATGTGCGATCTAGGTGTAATATTCAATATTGCAACAAAGGAATTCTACAGTGAACTTGTCAAAAGAATTATCTGTGGTTTTTAACATGCAAAATGAAGGTCTGTCATGATATAATAAGAACCGATAACAATTAAAAAAACCCAGATGTGTTGCAGGTATAACCTCTTTGTGAAAGTAGAAACGAAAGTGAACCAAACTTAAGACATGGAAGAGATATCATTTATGTTCATTTGCTTAATTGTAATAAAATTCATTTTTCTTCATGTGTAATAAGTGAGCATTAGAAGGGTTGTTCCAAAATTAAATTGTAATGAGCATTAAGCCCTCTAGCAAAATTATGAAATGCATGGCCTCGGGATATTTTTGTCCCCCACTTGAAAAGTGGGGGATATTAATTTGGGTCTGTCCGTCCGTCCATCTGTCCTTCATTCTTCTGTCTGTAACGCTTTCATTTTCACACGATATCTCGACCCTTTTTTTGCAAAAAATAGCAACTCCCTATGGACATATTGATTTTGGGGTCAAAAGGTCGAAAAAATTTATATCTGAGAACCCTTTGAGCTTTTGCAATGAAATTTGGCATAACAATCATCCCTATTGATTTTGAGGTCAAAAGGTGTTCAAGGTCATAAATTTATACATTCTGTCATAACACTATCCCTTCTGGGTATATATCAAGAGGATTTTGAGCTTTTGCTATGTAATTTTATGCACAACTCCCTAATACCCCTTTCAAGATTAGTATTTATTGTATTACATGTCACTATTTTTAGCAAATATTAATAAAACAGGTCCTTATAACATCTATTAGAACTGTTTGATAAAGGTTAAATTAGACACCATCCATGCATTGTGTAAAATTTTGACAATATCGAACGTGAATATATACATGTATGTGACTTCAATTTTACCATTTAATTTTCTTTTACGTCAAGCATTTCTGTGGTCTAGTGGTATGTCTCTCGCTTCACATGTGAGGGGTGACGGGTTCAAATCCCGGACGAACCATTTCTTTTTTTTTCGAAATACTTTTTAAAAAATAAATGGTAGCATGTGAAATGAAAAATTTATGAGGACTGGCTTGCATAAACTCATTAAATCATCAATACAGTGTGATAAATATTCCATATACCAGTAAAAAGGATCTTCTATACACATAATAAAGAATAAGCAACCAAATATTTATATCCATATTGGCATATATTTTATTTGCTTCCTTATAGATGTATACATTTAATACTTCTACAATAATGGCATAATAATTCAGTCAGGAGGACCCGCGGGGGAAAATTCTCTGAATTAGCTTGTTAGAAAATGAAAAAGGTGCATAATTATAAACAATTTGGGTGTCTATTCTGAAACTATGGCCCAAGGGACAGGAAATATTTGAAGTACACCAGTAAGATCTGCATACGGTAGTTAGGATTGGAAGATGTGCTTCTTCCAAAAGATGTAATTCTTCCAATAATAAGAAAGTATGAAAGACTTATTCTCGTAGTGCTGTAGCATTTTTATTAGTTCACCAGAGCTGAAGGCTAGAGTGAGCTTTTCTGATAAAAATTAATATGTTAAATGTCTGTTGTGATAAACTTTTCACATATGTTCATCTTCTTCACAAGAACCACTTTTGCTATATCCATATTCATACTAAGTGAGTTTTATTGTATCTTCAAAAAATCTAAATGCTAGTTCAAATGAAGGGCCACACCCTCTTCCAAGGGGAGAAAGTTATGAATAAGTGAAAAATTGATGACAAATTTTTAAAAATCTCATGAACCACTGGACCAAGAAAGATGAAACTTGTGGAGTCATCCTCATATAGTGTAGATTCAAGTATGTTCAAATCATGACCCTTCAGGGGTATAGGATGGTGCCAAATTGGGTAATTGAAGTATTTCACAGAAATCTCAAGAACAGGAAAGCCATTGTTGGTGATGTTAATATGGAAGCATCCTTGAGAAGTGACTAGATTGAAGTTCCTTCATATCATAAGTTCATAACCCCAGGGAAAAGTTGAGGCCATAATGGATGATCAAAGTTTTGCATAGAAATATATAGGAAAATTCTTCTCCAGAACAGCAACCCCAAGATTGGTGATATATGACTGTAATAAGGAAGTATTTCTAGATAGTGAATATTCAAGTTTTCTATTATCAAGACCCCCCGGGGTAGTGGGGCCATAAGTGGCAATATCGATATGGGTAAGGTGTGGCGGCTGTGGCCACAATGAGGAATCGAAGTGTTCAATATTTATAATAAAAAAAATCTCATGAACAGAAAAGCTGTGTTTAGTCATATTGACATGTAAGAAAAGAGTCTTCATGTAGAGAAGTTTCAAATTTGTTTAAATCATGACCTGGGAGAGAGGGTTTGGGAGGTACTACTATGGGAATCAATTTTGTACAGAGTAATAAGTAGAGAAGAAAAATCTTTGAAAATCTTTTCAAGAACAGCAAAGTTATATTAAAAACAGGATTGGTCTCACTTGCTCTGAGGTTAGCTTTGTACCTAATGAGCTTCATATTTAATTTCCCATGCTATCTTTTAAAAAATTGCCCTCTCCCAATGGACATTCTAAAAATAAAATTGGCCCACTCATTTTTTTTAACATCAAGGAATTTAAGCAATTTTTTAATGTACAGCATGCATTCTTAAGGCTGGATAATAGATTCTTATTGCTGTCTGTTTTCATCCTGCGTCATGCATTAACATTTGAACATTTTCAGCCTCTTCTCTGCAACCCCCGAACCAATTTTGGCACAAAGCTTCACTGGTGAAAGGGAACAAAATTTGTGAATTTCATGGTCCCTGCCCTCCCTGGGGCCTGAGGGGTGGGGCCAAAACCACTAAAATTAATTCAATCTTTAAAAATCTTGTCTACTCCTGGACATCAAGCAGGCAAACTGTTGGCATGATTGAAATCAGCATTGAGTCCTCTACCAAAATTTTGAAATTCATGGCCCAGGGGTTAGGGGTTGTAGTGCTAGGGCGGGGCTAAATAGATTATATAGTGATCAAAAATGCTTGAATTCTTTGAAAATTTTCTTCTTTGCTCCTGGGCATTAAATAAACATTTCCCAAGTACATAGTAATATGTTGAATAAGGCTGCCTCTTTCAAAATTGTGATTTCATGGCCCTAAGGGTCAGGGGTTCTGGTGCAAGGGCTAGGCTAAATAGGTTATATAGTGAAATTGCATAAATTCTTTGAAAATCTTCTCTGCTCCTGGGTCTTAAATAAACTAAGTACAAAGTTATGATGAACAAGAATATCTCTTCAAATATTGTGAATTTTATGGCCCTTAGGTCAGGGGTTCTGGTGTAAGGGTGGGGCTCTATTGATGATATTGTACAGTGAAAATACGTTAAAACTTTAAAAATCTTCTTCTCTGCTGTGAGGTATTAAATAGACTAACAAAGTACATGATTATGTTGAATAATTATAAGGCTGCATCTTCTAAAATTGTGAATTTCAGGGCCCCTGGGTCAGGGGTTCTGGTGTTTGGGTGGGGCTCTAATGATTTTACAGGGAAAATGCATGAATTCTTTGAAAATCTTTACCTTTGCTCCTGGGTAATATATATGCCAAGGATCTAAGTACATATTTTTGATGAAGATTGGTGCCTCTTCCAAATTGGTTATTTTTAGGGCCCTCGGGTCAGGGGTAGGGGGAGGGGGGTGTACTTAGTCTGAAAATAAATTAATGCTTTGAAATCTGCTCTTTGGTACATGTATTAATCAATCATTAATGCTGAAATAAAATTTATGATAAATTTTCCAAAATTTTGAAATATTTGCCCCAGGGTCAGTGGTTCCTGTGGGGTGGGGTGCACAACTGGTGGTTATAAAGTGGAAATGCATTTCTCTTTGTTACTCTGATCTACCCCTGGGTATTAAGTAACCAAAGTAAATATGCTAAGTGTATAAATATGATAAACAATGGTGCCTCTTTCAAAATTGTGAATTTTATGGCTTTTGCTTTAAAACAGGAACCAAATACATTGCTTTAAAGTTGTTAAATGATACTCAGGTGACCATAATGAAAGTAGTGAAATAAAAATTTTGATAAAATTTCCAGCATCTTGAAATATTTGCCCCAGGGTCAGTGGTTCCTGTGGGGTGGGGTGCACAACTGGTGGTTATATAGTGGAAATGCATTTCTCTTTGTTACTTTGATCTACCCTCTAGGTATTAAGTAACCAAAATAAGCATGCTAATTAATGATTATGATAAACAATGGTGCCTCTTTCAAAATTGTAAATTTCATGGCTTTTGCTGTAAAACAGGTAACAAATACAATTGCTTTAAAGTTGTTAGATGATACTCAGGTGTCCACAAGGCCCATGGGCCTCCTGTAAAATTAAGCACTAAAATTTTTTTGAGAACAAAATTTTTTCTCATTAACCTATCGACAATTTATTTAATCTTGAGTAGGGGTAATGGTAATGGAACTTACATTATTTTAAAGATGGTCCACTTGTTTTTTTAAACGATCACCTGAGTTGACTCAGGTGACCTACTGCTATATGTTTTCATCCGTTGTTGTTCATCAGTCGTAAACTTTTGAACATTTTTAGCTTCTTCTCTGGAACCACTGAACCAATTTCAGCCAAATTTAGTATACAGCATCTATAGGTGAAAGGGAACAAAATTTTTGAATTTCATGGTCCCCCCCTCTCCTGGGGCCTGAGGGGTGGGGCCAAAACCACTAAAATTAATGCAGTCTTTTAAACTCTTCTTTACTCCTGGACATTAAGCAGGCAAGCTGTTGGCATGATTGAAATCAGCATTGAGTCCTCTACCAAAATTTTGAAATTCATGGGCCCAGGGTAAGAGGTTCTAGTGCCTAGGTAGGGCTATATAAATCATATATAGTAAAAGTGCATTATTTCTTTGAAAATCTTTTCCTCTGCTCCTGTGTATTAAACAAACTAACTAATTATAAGAACATAGTTATGAAAACGGAGAGTGCCCGTCTTCCAAAATTGTGAATTTCATGGTCCTTGGATTAGGGGTTATGGTGTTAGAGCGGGGCTAAATAGATTACATTAATCCTTTGAAAATATTCTCCTCTGCTCCTTGGTATTAAACTAAGTACATACGCACGTAGTTATGATGAACAAGAGTGTGCATGCCTCTTCCAAAATTGTGAATTTCATGGCCCCTGGGTCAGGGTTTTGGTGTAAGGGGGGTGGAGCATACTGACATAGCTAGTAATAATATAGCAGTGACAGACAATGCTGACATGGCCATAGAAATTAATATATAAAAGTGACAGATTGATAGATAGATTGTATGTTGTTTAACGTCCCTGTCGAAAATTTTTCACTCATAATTTTAGTGCGTACTTGATTTGGACTGACAAAGTTTCTAATTCTGTTTTGTTACTAGTGTAAGATTGGTTGTTTGAGAGTTTTTAAAATACAAAAAAAACACACACACAATTCCACCTACGAGCAAGAAAGACACTGGCCAGTAAAAAATTCAGCGCCGATGACCTGGATACAAATTGTTTAGAGGACGTACAAAGTCAAGCTTTACATGCAAATCGTTTGAAAACTCTGTTAGGGTATTTCGCGTGTTGGCATGAGCGTTAGTGTCAAGTGCCTGTATAGAGCGACAAACATAGTTCATGTGTATGGCACGCCAAATTCACAAAAATGAGCTAAACATGTTTCACAGTCGATAAACTAGGTTTATCGAGCGACTGTAAACATAGTTAACAACGTGTGTGTTAATGCGATAATCTATGTTTCACAACCGTAAACTCTTAACACTAAAACAATCATTTGCAATTGCAAAACATTTATCTGACAGTTGAAAAGTAAACATATTTATTGCTGAAATTAAACTATATAGTTTACAAACGTGAATCTATGTTTATCAACAAAATCTGTTGTTAACGCTTATTACAGACAGATAAACTTAAGCTAGATTATCATTCGTAAACTATATAGTTAACAAAAGCAGAATCAGTTAACTTGGTTTGTTGTTTGTAATGTCTCTCTAGTTTATCAAATGAATTTTTCACTCACTGATCAGAGACCAGAAGAGCTTCTGCGATAGTAATGCGTCCGTCGTCTGTCTGTCTTAGTACGTCTGTAAACAATTTTTCAAAATGCTACTCCTCCTACAGTTTTGGTCTGATTTCAGTATAACTTGGCACACAAGTAGACTACACTAAGATAATTTGTTTATCGGTTTTTGATTTCGATGAACGGTGTTGCCGTGGTTATTTTCTTGAAATTCTTTCACAGTTTTGGTCGATTTCAATATAACTTGGTACACAAGTAGACTACACTGAGATACATAATTCTCTATATCGGTTTTTGATTTCGATGAACCGTGTTTTTCGAAATTTCTGTGAAATTCTTTCAAAATGCTACTTCTCCTACAGTTTTGGTCTGATTTCAATATAACTTGGCACACAAGTAGACTACACTAAGATGCATAATTCTATATATCGGTTTTTGATTTCGATGAACGGTGTTGCTGTTGTTATAAAAATAGAAATTTCTATGAAATTCTTTCAAAATGCTACTCCGCCTACAGTTTTGGTCTGATTTCAATATAACTTGGCACACAAGTAATTACATAATTTTATCGGTTTTTGATTTCGATGAACGGTGTTGTTGTTGTTACTAAAAATAGAAATTTCTGTGAAATTCTTTCAAAATGCTACACCTCCTACAGTTTTGGTCTGATTTCAATATAAGTTGGCACACAAGTAGACTACACTTAGGTACATAATTCTGTTTATCAGTTTTTCATTTCAATGAATGGTTATTAAAAATGAAAATTTCTGTTTAATACTCTCAAAATGCTTCTCATATATATATATATATATATATATATATATATATATATATATATATATATATATATATATATATATATATAGATTGATTTGTTGTTTAATGTCTCTCTAGTGAATTTTTCACTCATATGGAGACGCCACCACTTGCCGGTGTAGAGCTGCAAATTTGGCCTATTCTTGACACTCGGGGCCATTGAGAAGTGATGGATATTTTTCGCGCCAGCACCTACTGCGACACGGACCTCGGTTTATACGGTCTCATCCGAAGGACAGTCTCCACGTCCCATGTGTGCAGTGGAATTTGAACCCGCGGCGTAAGACAAAAGCAAGTCCGAGAGCAACTGTCAGACATTTCTAATATGAAACATTACTGAAGGTATATTTATAATTTCTCCTGCATTACTAATTAAGACATTATTTTCGAAAATATATATATATATATATATATATATATATATATATATATATATATATATATATATATATATATATATATATATATATATCCTTTGAAAATTCCAAATAGCAACACAGCGTTAGCGCTTTCATTAATGAAAGCTAACGTTTTAATCTTGGACAATTTTCGAATATAATAAGTTCCTAGAAGAAAACCTGTTCAAAAGCAGCAAGAAGTAGATGTCACGTTGGAAGGCGATAGGTGATGGAGCCATCTAGTCGAATGGGCATCCAACATCTTTTTAGAGTGGACGAAAAAAGCACAAGATTTTGTATTGACTTTCCGATTTGAACATGCAGTGGATGGAAACAGAAAGACGCCCATCATGTACGAATAATCACGATGGTACATTTCATATTATAACTACCGTGAATTTATATTACATAGATCTTCAAACATACCACATTATAATTATAATGTGATTGATCTGTAAATCTTTCGGTGCATGGTTTAGTCAGGATTACTGGTGCATAATCCAAGGTCAAATAAATGAATATAATTAGTTAATCCATTTGGATTGTGGGAGTGGTATTATTGACAAAGTTACTGTACGCACCGTAAACGTGTACTCTTTTGGGGTTAAAATCAACGTCGGTGGGCTTTAAAGTTAATTATTTAATTCAGTTTGAGTGCTTTTTGTTTAAACGGAGGGTAGACACTTATAAATAACTATAATAGTTTATTTTCTGGTAGGTCTTAAGTTTCCAAGTACAGGAATGAGTCTGAATGACCATATACAAGATAATTAGGTTGCCTATAATAATGATTATAAATCATTTAATTTCGTAGGTTATTTTTAATTGTAAACTAAGGACTTAACCATGATAAACCTTTAAATGCTTTGTAAAGTATGGTGATTTATGATAATGTCGTCACCCCACTCCCAACTTCTCACTTTTTTAAACCCTGTGGTAAAACGTTCCTTAACACCGAGATGTTTTGATCAGAATTTCATCCAACGTGAGATGTAGGAGAAGGTTATGATCAGAGTTTCTTACAAAGTGAGATGTGGGAGAAGGTTATGATCAGAGTTTCTTACAAAGTGAGATGTGGGAGAAGGTTATGATCAGAGTTTCTTACAAAGTGAGATGTGGGAGAAGGTTATGATCAGAGTTTCTTACAAAGTGAGATGTGGGAGAAGGTTATGATCAGAGTTTCTTACAAAGTGAGATGTGGAAATAAGAATGATCAGGCTTCCTTTTGATTCAGTGAGATGATAGGATGAACAGAGAGATGTGGAGAATTCAGATCGACCTGAGACTATATCTTACCTCTCGGCATTCTCAGCTTCCGTTTCACTAAGTAATCCCCATAACTTGAACTTCTCATAAATACTAGCTCTAGCATTACCAACAGGGGCTTTGTCATTCTCTTTGTCACTTGTCAACCAAGACAGACGATCGCTGTTTCTTCCCGCCATTGTGTCATAGCTAAGTGCAAGTGTAATCCATCATAGCAAACTAGTAATATTTTGTTAGGGTAGACGACTTTTGGTAATGTGTTAATTTGTAAACACAATCATTCTAATCTTTAGCTGTTTAGGCATTTAATGAAGTAGAGCTCGATTGCACCAAGGAGGCAGGACAACAGATTAAATGTCCCAATCTCTTGTATTAATCTTATATACTTTATTTATACAGTGCAATCATGCAGAATTTACTACTTATGACAAGTCATTATTATTAACTACTCTTCTATTTTTATCTTATATGTTCAGGTTAATGGTTTACAGATTATGAAACTGTTTCCAATGTTGAAGATTTTTATTTCTCGTGTCGTTGGTCATTTTTAGTGCTTTTTATAAATTTCCATCCGTGGCCTTATGTATCTACTTAATAGATCCGACACTAAGGAAATAGATTGTTGCTGGTTTTTAGGATATACTTCAACAATAAACAAACGTGACAAAGACTAAACAGAACTGAGTTGAAGTAAGACGTGACAATTCGCCAGAAATACCAGATTTCTTTTCTATAAAATGATTGAAATGCTTGTTTTATTGGAATGAGGTTTGTTTGCATGGTACATGTAATCATTTAACAAGAGGCCCATGGGCCTTATAGGTCACCTGAGCATTATGCAACAACTTTCCAGTGATTTAATTTGATTCATGTTTTAAGCCAGATGCTATGGCGTTCACAATTTTGAAAGATCATAACAATACACTTAGCAGTTGCTTAGTTTGTTTACTTAATACCCATAGGCAGGGTGGTGGAACAAAAAATGCATTTCAAGCAATCAGTAATATTCAGCAATAATCAGTAATGCCCCTATCACACATGAACCCCTGACCCTTAGGCCTAGATCCACACATTGCACAATTTTTGAAAAGGCACCCTTGCTTTTCAAAAATATTTGATTAATACCAAGGAGCAGATCTCAAACAATTCATCCAGTTTCAGTATATAAGTACACCACCCCCTATGGTAACAAGGAGCAGATCTCAAACAATTCATCCAGTTTCAGTATATAAGTACAATCCCCCCCCCAATGGTACCCCTGACCCTGGGGCCTTGAAATTCACAATTCTAGAAGATTAAGGTCCTTGCTCATCATAACTACATAGGTAGTTCATCTGCTTAATACCCAAGAGCAGAGAAGAAAATTTTCAAAGATTTAATGTATTTTCACTATATGATCAATAGAGCCCTGCCCTATCACTAGAACCCCTGACCCTAGGGCCATAAAATTCACAATTTTGGTAGAGGCACTCTTGCTCATCATAACTATGTACTTAGTTTATTTAATTCCTAGGAGCAGAAAAGAAATTTTTTCAAAGAATTCATGTATTTTCATTATATAATCAATAGAGCCCCGCCCTAACACCCGAACCCTGACCCTGGGGCCATAAAATTCACAATTTTGGTAGAGGTACTCTTGCACATCATAACTATGCACTTAGGCCAAAAAAAAATTAATCAATAGTTTCTCAGGCACCGCCGCATCAGTTCAAAAACGGCCGCATTGATCAATTTTATGGACAGATTGAAAAGGGAAATAACTCAATTTTCTATTTTTCCAAGTTGAAAAAGAAAATCGAGTTATTCCCCTTCTCATGAATGCTAAGATAGACGTTTTTATTAGAAAAACAATATATTTCTTCTAAATTTACAGTGTTTTATGAATTAACTTTTAAATAAATGTTTAGAATAACATTATTTAAAGATGAATACATATTATAACTAATTTCAGAGAACAAAAATTAAGAATTAGAAGATATTATCATTTTATTGAACAAATGGCTTTAAAAAGTTGTAAAACCTGCTACAAAAAAAAAAAAAAAAAAAAAAAAAAAAAAAAAAGCCTGCCTGCCGCATTGAATTTTGATTTTTTTGGCCCGAGAAACTATTAGTTAATTTTTTATTTAATACCCAGGAGCAGAGAAGAAGAATTTCAAAGAATTCATGTATTTTCACTATATAATCTATAGAGCCCCACCCTAACACCAGAACCTCTGATCCTGGGGCCATAAAATTCACAATTTTGGTAGAGGTACTCTTGCTCATCATAACTATGCACTTAGTTAGTTTATTTAATACCCAGGAGCAGAGAAGAAGATTTTCAAAGAATTCATGTATTTTCACTATATAATCTATAGAGCCCCACCCTAACACCAGAACCTCTGACCCTGGGGCCATAAAATTCACAATTTTGGTAGAGGTACTCTTGCTCATCATAACTATGCACTTAGTTAGTTTATTTAATACCCAGGTGCAGAGAAGAAGATTTTCATAAAATTCATGTATTTTCACTATATAATCAATAGAGCCCCGCCCTAACACCAGAACCACAGACCCTAGGGCCATAAAATTCACAATTTTGGTAGAGGTACTCTTGCTCATTATAACTATGCACTTAGTTAGTTTATTTAATACCCAGGAGCAGAGAAGAAGACTTTCAAAGAATTCATGTATTTTCACTATATAAACTATAGAGCCCCACCGTAACACCAGAACCTCTGATCATGGGGCCATAAAATTCACAATTTTGGTAGAGGTACTTTTGCTCATCATAACTATGCACTTAGTTAGTTTATTTAATACCCAGGAGCAGAGAAGAAGATTTTCAAAGAAATAATGCATTTTCACTATATACTTATTTAGCCCCGCCCTAGCTATAGAACCCTTGACCCCAGGGCCATGAATTTCACAATTTTAGTAGAGGACTCAATGCTGATTACAATCATGCAAACAGTTTGACTGCTTGATGTCCAGGAGTAAAGAAGAAGATTTTTAAAGATTGCATTAATATAGTGGTTTTGCCCCCCCCCAAGGCCCCAGGAGGGCAGGGACCATGAAATTCACGATTTTTGTTCCCCTTCATCCATAGATGCTTTGTACCAAATTTGGTTGAAATTGGTTCACTGGCTGCAGAGAAGAAGCTGAAAATGTTCAAATGTTAACGGACAATGCACAACGCACGACGCACAACGCACGACGACGGACGAAAACAGATAGCAATAGGTCACCTGAGTTTACTCAGGTGACCTAAAAATGAACATAATTCGTATAAACAACGTTTCTGCCATTTTTGATCGGCTTCTCACTATCTTTGAGGACCCCTACATATTTATAGGGCCTGATTTAGTCTCTGTTCATTGTGATCAGTCGATACTGGTGTAGACGGATGCATGCTATGCAACATTCGGTAGCGACAAAAACAAGAGGCCCATGGGCCACATCGCTCACCTGAGAAGCTTTGACCATTCTGTTCTTTACCAGATTTTCCCCTTTTAATACATATTGCGACCTCACCCTACCCCACTGATCATGATTTAGACATTTTTAAATCTACAATACCCCAGGATGCTTCGATGTGCACATAAATTTCAGCTTTTCTGGCCAAGTGGTTCTTGAGGAGAAGATTTTCAAAGAATTTTTCTATATATTTCTATGTAAAACTTTGATTCCCCATTGTGGCCCCGCCCTACCCTCGTGGGTCATGATTTGAACAATTTAGAATCTACACCACCCCTGGATGCTTCCACATAAGTTTCAGCTATTCTGGCCCAGTGGTTCTTGAGAAGAAGATTTTCAAAGATTTTTCCTTTATATTTCTATGTAAAACTTTGATTCCGCATTGTGGCCCCGCCCTACCCCCGGGGGTCATGATTTGAACAATTTAGAATCTACTATTTACCCTAGGATGCTTTCACATAAGTTTCAGCTTTTCTTGCCCAGTGGTTCTTGAGGAGAAGATTTTCAAAGAATTTTCCTATATATTTCTATGTAAAACTTTGATTCCCCATTGTGGCCCCGCCCTACCCTCGTGGGTCATAATTTGAACAATTTAGAATCTACACTACCCCTGGATGCTTCCACATAAGTTTCAGCTTTTCTTGCCCAGAGGTTATTGAAAAGAAGATTTTTTAATGACCCCACCCTATTTTTGTCTTTTCTTGATTATCTCCCCTTGTGAGGGGACTTGGCCCTTCATTTTTAACAATTTAAATTTCCCTTCACCCAAGGATACTTCGTACCAAGTTTGGTCAAAATTGGTCCAGTGGTTCTTGAAAAGAAGTCGAAAATGTGAAAAGTTTACAGACGGACGGACGGACGACGGACAAAATGTGATCAGAAAAGCTCACTTGAGCCTTCGGCTCAGGTGAGCTAAAAACTGTAATACTTCGTATAATGCAGGAAAGTAAAATACTGAAGAATGAAACATACGAAGATAACGAACAGTATTCTAGCTCAAAAGTCCATTAAACAATACAAATTAGGAGCAGATCAATCACGGACCTCCAAAACATCTGATTGGATCAGGTGCCATGGAGAAGTGAGCATCCCCTGTCGACCGGTCTGACCCACCTTGTACACCTTGTCATGATCGTGAAATAGGGGAAAATCCGTCAACAATTCAGTGTGTAAATAATGGCCTAACAATTAGTATATGGAAAAGTCAGTCAGCATTTGACTTAATGATAAATTGTAATTCCTGACAAGGTCTTTGTATCGACCATAGAAATTACCATAGAAATTACGAAATGACTTTAAACGATGATTTGAACAATTTAGAATCTACACCACCCCTGGATGCTTCCACATAAGTTTCAGCTATTCTGGCCCAGTGGTTCTTGAGAAGAAGATTTTCAAAGATTTTTCCTTTATATTTCTATGTAAAACTTTGATTCCGCATTGTGGCCCCGCCCTACCCCCGGGGGTCATGATTTGAACAATTTAGAATCTACTATTTACCCTAGGATGCTTTCACATAAGTTTCAGCTTTTCTTGCCCAGTGGTTCTTGAGGAGAAGATTTTCAAAGAATTTTCCTATATATTTCTATGTAAAACTTTGATTCCCCATTGTGGCCCCGCCCTACCCTCGTGGGTCATAATTTGAACAATTTAGAATCTACACTACCCCTGGATGCTTCCACATAAGTTTCAGCTTTTCTTGCCCAGAGGTTATTGAAAAGAAGATTTTTTAATGACCCCACCCTATTTTTGTCTTTTCT